GTTGGTATGTGGCGTCGGCGTTCTTTAGGCCGAAGGGCATTACGTTGTAGTAATAATTGCCCGACGCCGTCATGAAGGCCGTGCTCTGTTTATTGTGCTCGGCCATCGGGATCTGGTTGTACCTCGAGTATGCATCCATGAAGGACAAGAGCTTGAAACCCGCGGAGTTGTCGACGAGTTTGTCGATGTTGGGGAGGGGGTAGGCGTCCTTGGGACATGCCCGGTTGAGGTCGGTATAGTCAACACACATGTGCCATTTTCCATTATTCTTTTTAATGAGTACAACGTTGGACAGCCAAGTTGAATACCGGGCTTCCGAAATAAAATTCGCCTCTAGAAGGTCTTTTACAGCTTTCTCAGCCGCCGCCGACTTTTCGGGGGACTGTCTACGCTTACGTTGAACTACGGCCTTCGCGGTCGGGCTGATGGACAACTGATGGCAGGCGACCTCGGGGTCAAGTCCGGGCATTTCTGCAGCGCTCCAGGCGAAGAGGTCGGCGTTGTCACGGAGGCAGGCCTGTAGCTGTTTTTTTGCTAAGTATGGGAGTCCGATGCCGATCTTCACGGTTCTGCTCTTATCTTCCCCGAGTGTGACGATCTCGAATTCGCCGTCCGGGATGGGACGTGCCGGGTGGGTGGGCTGGCCGTTGGACTGGTTGGCTTCGCTGGTCCTTATTTCGTGGCCGTGCTCTTCGTTGAAGCGGTTGTCAAGATCCACGGATCCGACCATCTCCTTTGGTTCGCTCTTCGGTGTCACGGTTGGGGTCGCCTTCTTGGTTGTTGGGGCGATGGTGTCCAAACCTTTCAGCGCGACCTTGAAGCACCTCCGGACGGCCTCGATGTCTTCGTTAAGGGTCACCACGACCCCCCGTTTCGTGTAGTACTTCATCTTTAGGTGGACGGTGGAAGGTACCGCAGTGAGTTCTGCTATCATCGTTCTGCCCAGGATACAGTTGTAGAGGGACGGGCACTCGATGACTAAGAAACGGATGCTGATCTCCCTGGCCGTTTCCTCTTCCCCGAACGTGACTTTCAGCTTTACGTACCCCCAAGGTCTCGTCGTCGTCCCGTTGAACCCCTGAAGGTCGGAGCCTACGTAAGGGGATAGGTTGGATTCCTCGAGTTGGAGGGTCGTGAAGAGGTGGGTGTACATGATGTCCACCGAGCTGCCTCCGTCGACGAGGATGCGCCTAACATCGAAGTTCGCCATCCGCGCCTGTATGAGTAGGGGAATGTTGGAGTTGGGGGATCCCGCGGGGAGTTCCTCGAGGTAGAATGTGATCGGATTGGATCGACCGCGAAATCTTTCGAGCGTGCTCATCTTACCGGAGTTGCTCGTGATAAGCTCATCAAACTTTCTTTTCACCGATCCTATGGATAGGCTCCTTGTGGCGTCGCCCGAGATGACCATGGCTCTAGGAAAGTATTCCCACCGGATGGTTGGCCGTACCGGCTCGTCGGGTAGGTCAAATAGGTCGGGGAGGCCGAACTTTTTGTCCGTGAACCAGTCCTCGGGGTGGCTGACACACAGGGCGACCTGGAGTCTGTTGTCGCCGTCAGAAGAGGGGAGCTCTTCGACTTTCTTGGCCTCGGGGGCTTCTTGCCTCGGGGCCTTGCGGGTGGGGGCGGGGCGGGTGCGGGTGCACCCGTTTTCTACTGGGGGTGGGTCTGGGTGGTAAATTTTCACCCCCGATTGGATTTTGGGGCGGGGGTGGGTCTGTTACATGGATGCGGGTGCGGGTGCGGGTATAGTTAAACTCGCCCCCGACCCGCCCCGTTGCCATCCCTACTCACCCCCCCCCCTCGGGTGTATCTCTTTAGGTGGACGTCCTTAATCAGGATTTCGATCGCGTCCTTGAGATGGATACAGTCTTCGGTCACGTGCCAGTGGCTCCTGTGGAATCGGCAGTATTTCGATTAGTCCACATTGGGTTTGGGGGGCGTCGGCCTGGGGAAGCGGACACCTCCCTGGGCAAATTCGGTTTTGGCGCACTCGGCCAGTATGCGCTCGCCGGAAGCAAATAAGGTCGTGTATTCCGTGAATCGGCCGGCGGGGCCGCGTTGTTCGCGTTGTTCGCGGGAGCGATCTTCCCGACGGCGGTCACCTCCCCGCCGTTGGCTTGAGGCTCCGTCATCTCGGTGCCCACGGGGGGCTTCCCTGTCTCGGGTGTCTCGTACGGAGTTGGTCGCTTGAGTTTCCTCGAACCGGATATAATGTGCGGCTCTGTCGAGGAAATCCTGCAGAGAGGTTGGTCGGTGTATGCCCACGGCCTCGTAGAACTTGGAGTTGTGGCGTAGACCCTGCTCCATTAGGTAACGCTTCATCTCGTCTGACGTCGTTACCTGCACCGCTTCCCGGGTGAATCTTTCGATGTACTTTCGGAGAGGCTCGTCGTGGGCTTGGATTATCGCGCCGAGGACGGCCTCCGTCTTCGGGTGGCGTCGGGACGCTGTGAAGTGTTTTGAAAACAGGTCCTTCAGGACCCTCCACGACGTAATCGATTCGGGCTCCAGACTTTTGTACCATGTCATGGCGCCTTTCCTTAGGGTCGTCGGGAATAGCCTGCACTTGATGGCTCATCGGACGTTTCGGTAATCGAGCATGGCCTCGATGTCTTCCAGGTGATCATCCGGGTCGGATGTGCCGTCGTACGTCGAGAGCGTCAGGGGCTTCTCCATCCCGTGGGGAATGGGGGAGACTATGATTTCCCGGGACAAGGGAGTCCGGTAGTCGTCTTCGTCGCTGAGAGCGGGTGACCGAGGAGGAGATGGGCCGTTTAGGATAGGCATTTGGTTTCGGATCCTCGGCCTTCTGACCGGGGGTTCGACGCGCGGATTCTTGGTCGGAATTGCTGAGGTGTTCTGCCGCCTCCCTCGAACTTGTCTTGTCGGGGATCTGGTGCGTTCCCGCACTACTTCCGTTTGGTGCCTCTCCAGCCGAGGTCGTCGATTTCTGGGTTGAGGCAAGGGACTCCTCGAGCCCTCGTTCTGGTCTTCCCGCGGAGGGGACCATGGGGGGACCTCCCGCTCCAGCGCTCCAATTCGTGCGTTCTGCTGAAACAACAGCTGGTTCGTCTGGTTGATGGCCGCAAAGAGGGCGGTCACCGTTGGGTCCGCTCCCGCCGGGACAGGAACGGGTTGGAATGCCGCTGGGCTCGGGGGCCGGTGGTCGGCCTGGCGTAGCAGTTCTGCGGATGACGGAGAAGCAGTCTGGCCGTCTCTCTCGTCGGTCTCCGCCGGGCGTGACGTCTCCATCTGCTTGCTGCCGTTGGCGGCGGCGTTGAGCACGAAGTCGTGCATGGTATCGTCGTGGTGTGGGGTAGCCAGGATCGTGGAGTGTTGGTGAAACTTTGGTTTTCTGTTCGGAGTAACGGGGAAGTTTCTGTTCCCACAGACGGCGCCACTGATCTGACCTGATCAGAAGGAGATCATGGGCTGGCCACACGCTGTTGGACTACTACCTGTTCACCGGTGATGAGGAGGAGGAGGGGGGTGTAAATGCAAGACACTCTGATACCAAAGTAAGAATTTGGGCAGAGTGAGAGCAAAGTACAGAAAAGTGAATAAGAAATGAATTACCTGGCCCTCTTATGGAAGAGGGTATTTATAGGGAGACCCCAGCGCTGGGCCAACGGTCACTTGCGTTGGGCTGGATTGTCAGGCCCAACCCATGTGACTGCTAGGGCTTACGTGGCGTAGTGAAGACTAGAACGTGGTCTTCGCCCTAGTTCAACTGTCCCGTGATCTCCGGAAAGAGGGTTTGACCTGCTCTTTCGGAGGTGGACAGCTGGTTAGTGACGTGTCCCCGCAGAGGGGAGCACGTGGAGAACGTGCGCATGGCACGTTGGTCTCCCCGCGGAGGGGAGCTCGGGAGGTTCCCTGAAGGTGTGTTGTTCTTCCCGCGGAGGAGAGCACACGTGGACGTGGGAGAGCCATGGGGTCTTGCTCGAAGGCATGGGGAATACCGCCCGCGGAGGGTGGTGCTTGGTCGTGCGGGCGATTCTCTTGCCTAGCGTGGTTGGAACGGTTCTTCCTCGCTGGGAGATCTTTCTAGCGTGTCAGGGATCTTGTGCCCGACGCGATACCCGGACTGGATAGGGCCTGGTGGAACATTATTGGGTTGGGTCAGCATAGTCAGCCCGGAACCCAGGCCAGAACAATAAATAACCAAAATAGATCGATTTACCAAATCGAACTCATTTAAACTGATGGCCCAAATGGTCAAAACACGGCCTATAATCAAAACACGGCCTACAGAATTTTCAAAGGAATATTGGATTTTTTTTGCATTTATGTAAAAAATATCAGATATTGCCAAAAAGCCGAAAAACTAAATCATTTTGACAAATTCAAAAATGTCAAAAACCTTTTTTTTTTGTTTGTCTATTGAATATGAGTTTACCGATTTTTCAAAAATCTAAAAAATAACCGCACATACCAGAGTTATAAAAATAAAATAAAATAACCCAATATGTTAAATTCATTTTTTTTAACCGTGCATACTAAACATATTAAATCCGTTATCGAATTTTTTAGGATTTCTTAACTTAATGCCATATGGGCAAGTGTTATAACGAGGTTTAAATGCTAAACCAAGAGAAAAAAAGGTAAAATAGTTTTGCCACAATTTCTAGTACGATATTAAATTTTAAATTGATAGAACTATGATAATCAAATCAATGGACGCTAAATGAAGGATGAGAATACACACAATCATACATGAACATTCTTCATACAAAAATTTCCAAATCATAAGAAAGAATAGGCAGTAAGTGAAGCTTCTTTATATGCAATCAATTCATAAACCAGTCTCAAAACATTGTTACCGTAAAGAACCAACCACCCTCCCCTTACACCAAAAAAATTCATATACTACTATTTCATGTATCGTATTCACACATTCATAACAAAGCTCTATGCTGCTACGCAAAATATATATCACATTCTGATTCTAATCTCTAAAATGAAAGAAGGGGGAAAATCGTGGCTGATGTAGTGATCTAGGGATTCAATGTTTGGAATGGAAAGACCTGATGATATTCGGAAGGGAAACTGAAGCTGTTGATATCAACGCTTGCCATGAGAGAAGTTCCGAAATCAGAAAACGAAGAGCCGCAGCTTTCTTCGTTGCCGTTAATGGTGACGTAGGAAGAAGACGATTGGAAAACGAGGAGAGTAGAGTAAGGATCGTTGATGAATGTGACCGTCGATTCGCAGTCCTGTTCTAATAGATTGAAAAGCTCGTCGTCGTTGTTGTTGTCGTATTCAATGTGCGACGGTGAACGTTGCGGTTTGGCATCGGCGGTAGGGTGGATTTGGACGGCGGTGTTGTCTTCCATTGAAAGAAAGTGAGAGAGAATGAGTGGAAGTTGGAATTTGAAGGGAAATAAAAAGAAGGTTCTGGATGGTTTGGACGGAAGAAAACAAAACAAGCGTCGTTGGGTGGGTCCGTTAGAATCACGTATAACGTGATAAAGTTTGACGCCGTTGATTTGAGTGCCACGTGGATGGGTTATCGGATGACGTGGCGTATCCCTAGAAAAGCGGGAATTGAAATCCACGCTCTCTTCCCGGGAAAGTGTGAAAAGACGAGGAAGGGTAGAGACAATTCATTGATCATGAGTTTTCTGAATGAGGGAAAGAAATCAGAAGGTAGAAGAAGATCAGTTGTCTTCAAATGAACTGATAATAAAAGAGTGTCAGAGATTTTAACATGCAAAAATTGCCTATTTAAGAATTGATCCGGACCACACATCAAATGCAATGCATCATTCCAGGAAATTGACTTAGTTTAGTTTTTCAAAACTATTAGATGGATCATGATCATGAATTTTATTACACTGGATTATACTTTACTAACTTCAAACACATGAAAACCAAGCCAAAGAATAGCTGCCCTAACTAATTTATGGACCACTTTATATTTATTTGTTTTCTACTAAACTCAACCAACGAGTTTAGAGAATAAATATAAATATAAAAAAAAAAAACAATCTTTAATTATAGAATTAAAGTAAGATAAATAGAAAGTTTTTTGTTATTAAAGTTATCAACGACGTTTTTGTATACGGAGTCATCTAAAGAGTTGTATATTCTCTTCTCTTATGGTATAGGAATAACTGATCATTATGAAAGATTGTTTGTTAGAAATAATTTGAATCAATTTTAAAAATAAATTAAATTAATTTTTATGAACAATAATCAATATTTTTGATTGATTACCTATAATTCTTCATTCGTTACTTGAGTAATTCAACCATACATTAGTTGCAAGATGATTTCTCTCACAAAAATTTGATGAGAGGAGATAATATGAGAGAAAAAATAGAGAAGATGAAATTTAGGATTTTGGGAGAAGAAAGAATTTTTTTTTAGTTCTAACTGAACTTAATTTTATGTATGTACAAATGAAAGTGTCTCCCTATTTATAGTTGGGATTACTTACACACCAAATAATCCTTTTAACTAACTTAGTTGTTAAACAAATACTAAGTTTCAACTCTATCGAAGTTGGCTCATTCGACAACTACATACTTCGACAATTGTCGAATATATGCTTAACACAAATAATTATAATTTAACACACTACTTGGTTCATTGTGTTTAAGTTATCTACATTGATCATTGCTCTTACTCTCTTGAACAATTCGACCTGTACAACCTTCGTCATTATGTTTGCAATATGATTCTCTAATCTGCAGTGTTCTATGTTCAACCTTTCATTCATTACTTGCTCCCGAAGATAATAGAACCTCATTTCGATGTATTTGCTTTTTCCATGTGCTATTAGATTATTTGTCAGATTGATAGCAGACATATTGTTGATCTTCATAGTCATTTCCCCGTGATTCTTCTGTGTAATTTCTTCTATCAAATTCATCATCCATGTTGTTTGACACGCACATAGAGAGGTGGTTATGTACTCAGTCTCACATGATGACAACGCTACTCAAAAAGGCAAAATCTAAAGTTTTTCTTGCGCAACAACATAATCAAAATAACAATAATCAATAAAACATGGTTTAACTCAAAGACCCCAACTCGATGTTACACTATCAGAGTAAGACCCTCTAAGTCAACCAAAAGACAAAAATTCCAAAAAGTCCTCGACAACATCCACGGCTAAACCTGGTCATCTGCACGTTACCCACGTGGAGGTAACATTCAAATAGGCAGGGTGAGTAAAACGATTCATAATAATCAATATAGGAATCAATATATAAAATAGTGTCATTTTCGTAATCAACATCATCATAATCATCAAGGAAACATCAGAAAGCCATAATATCATAAATTAGACCAAATTGTCACATAAATGCAAATGCAACAAGACTCATGCATGTGGTACCAATTCATCAAAGTTCGATGGACACTGGACCATCAACCCTCCATAGATCCCCATCAATAGGATCAATTCTACACAAGAACCGGAGCACAACAAAATACTTCACATCCGCACAATGGGACTGAAGCCACAAGAATCAAACACTAGACCGAAGTCTGGAATGCATATGAATACATGATGCACATGTCAATATCATCCTCATAATAAAATCATTAGGTGCATCATCATTCATCATAATAATCATGTCATCATATAATCATCAAAGACTCATGGAATCAACATCATAACTCATCATCATTACTCATAGGAATCATCATACAATCATGTATTAATCACAAATGAATCACAGTCATACTCAAGGTAATTCATCCAAAAAATCACAGCATTAAAGCATCAAGACAGCATTACACAAAAACACAATTCTCGAAACTCTGCTACGTTCGCTGGACAGTTCGCCGTGCGAGTCTGGGGCGAGTGTTCGCTGTGCGAACTCGCGATTACAGCAAAACGCTGTTATGCACCAGCACCAAAATCAGCCTAAAAGTCCCTATGATTTCCTTCTCTAATGCCCCAAAAACATCCCTAAATCATTCCTAAGGTATTACGAAGATAAAGGCACAAAATTTACGACTTATTAGACCAATTCCGTATCATGTTTACCCCTCCAATTCCCATAAAATCCTTACAATTTTCACAAATTCATTAGAGTTCTCATAATCAATTACCCTATACAATTAAAACCTCAACAACAGATTTTGGCCACGAAGACCTAATTTCTCTTACTCCCAAATCAGCTTCAAACCTATCAGACCATCAATTTAAATCCTTCAAACTCATTAAATTCACCAGAAAGTCAACAACAATTCAATACTCAAAATCCCTAAACCCTTAAATCGGCTTTAAACACATTGAATCACATATTGAAAACAATGAAGGCAATACTCCCCATACCTTAATTTTTCGACTTTAAACCTTTCTTCTTTGATTCTTGGAAACCTCGCGGAGCTTTGCCTCAATCATCTTTCCTCAGAGCTCTGACCTCTATTTCTTCTCTTTTCACGGTCTAACAAGAATGAATCTTAATTCCCTCAAAATTCCTTTTTGTTAAACCTAACTTTGAGCTTTAAAATGGGCTTTCCAATTTCACCCTCACTAACTCCTCCTCAAATGTCCATTTTGCCCATAATTCACTTATATTTATTTAAATTAATAATAATACCAATATATTCATATTATATACTATTATTTAAATAAATAACCCAAAATTCATAATTCTCAATACTTCATACCAACCACCGCAAATCACCAAAAATACGAATATTCCTATTTAAATAAATTAAATAAATATTCCAATAAATTTGGGGTGTTACAACTCTCCCTCACTTAAAAGAATTTTCACCCTCGAAAATTACCTCAAGGAAACAGAGTCGGATACGACTCCCTCATCTTATCCTCATGCTCCCAAGTCCAACTTTCTCCAGCTGGTCCTCCCAAAACTACTTTTACCAAGAAAATCTCTTTACCTTGCAGTTGCTTCACTTCTCGTTTATCAATCTGTACTGGCAATGTCTCAACAGTCAAGTTATCTCTCACTTGTACATCATCCATTTGAATCACTTGTGACAGATCTGAAATATACTTCCTGAACTGAGACACATGAAACACATCATGCAAATTTGCAAGCGGCGGCGGTAAAGCAATCAGGTATGCTACTCCTCCCACCTTCTACGAAATCTGATACGGACCATCAAAATGCGGTGTGAGCTTTCGAGACTTCAAAGCTCGGCCAACACCAATTACCGACATAACTCTCAAAAACAGGTGATCTCCCTATCGAAACTCAAGTGCTTTCCTCCTCTTGTCATGGTAACTCTTCTGACGACTCTGCGAAACTTTGATCTTTTCTTGGATTCTCTTGATCTTTTCAGTCGTATGGTGAACAATCTCAGGTCCGAGCATAACACTCTCGCCTGACTCATACCAACACCAAGGAGTCCTACATCTCCTACCATATAATGCCGCATACGGTGTCATTCCAATACTAGAATGATAATTGTTGTTGTAGGTAAACTCAATCAACGGAAATGACTATACCATGATCCACCTTGACCCAACACACAAGCTCTCAGCAATTCCTCTAAAGACTGGATAGTTCTGTTTGTCTGTCCATCCGTCTACGGATAATAGGCAGAACTCAATCTCAACATGGTACCCAAAGCGTCTTGCAAACCCTTCCAAAATATCGATGTAAATCTCGGATCTCCATCTGACACAATACTCGACGGTATCCCATGCAACTTCATAATTTCCTCAATATACATCTCACCTAGCTTCAGCATAAAACGATTAATACTCATTGGTAAGAAATGAGCTGGTTTAGTCAATCTATCCATAATCACCCAATTAGAATCATTCCCCCTCATAGTCTTCGGCAAACCCAACACAAAATCCATGGAAATACTATCTCATTTTCACTATGGTATATTCAACGATTGCATTAGACCCAACGGTCTTTGATGTTCGATCTTCGACTTCTGACAAGTCTATCCAGCATACACAAACTCAACCATTTCTTTCTTCATCCCTGGCCACCAAAACAATTTCCTCAAATCCTGTTACCTCTTCGTAGCACCGGGATGGATACTCAATCTACTTTGATGTCCTTCCTCAAGAATACTCTTTTTCAACTCAACAATATCTGGAACAAAAACTCTATCACGACATTGCTCAATCAGTTCTAACTCTTTTACCATCATCATCGGTATATGCGAAGATTTCCTACTCAATGCATCAGCTACCACGCTTGCTTTATCCGAATGGTAATTCAAACCAAAACCATAATCCTTCAGAAGTCCCAATCATCTCCTTTGCCTCGCATTCAATTCTTTCTTATCAAATAAATACTTCAAACTCTTATGATCATTAAACATCTCAAATCTCGAATCAAACAAATAATGCCTCCAAAGCTTCAACACAAACACAACAACAACCAAC